GAAGCTGAGGTCTCCAGGGTGTCTTTTATGCTCTACCAGAGACTTGAGAGGATTCCAGGGCAGCTGACTGCCCACTCGCCCGGAGGCAGCCCTGAGAGCTGAGTGCAGAGGGAGGCCGGGTGCACCTGCCGCCAAGGTGAGCGAGGCCCAGGTGAGTGAGCCAAGGTGAGAGAGGCGGAGCGCTGCCCTTGGAGGGAGGAAGTACTCCAAGCCTTGGGCAGGGCTGGGCGGGAAGGAGCAAACAGGCCTTTGGAAAGACAAAGTGCTGGCAACCCCAGACAGATAGCTCTGCAATTTGATTCTCTTTTCAAAATAGCAGGCTCTGTCCCTGGCAGCAAGAGCAGTAATGAAAATAATATAAAAAAATGCATTCATTGGAGGGAAAGACTGGAAAAAAGTTCATCAAAACAGCACATGTATTTTTATCTTGTTTTTAAAAAACAGCTTATGATAATATATTAAATACTCTTTGGAAGAAATAATTTGAAGTTCAGAAACTTAAATCATTTAGCAGTTGAGAATCCTATCTCACATTTTTGTCGCTCAAAGTTTACGCGGTCAAATAGAACCTAACATTACTTTTTCTAGGTGAGGGCATCAGAAATTAGCATATGTGTTGCGCTCACTGAGAGGAATTTCCGTGTAACAGAGCAATTCCAGGGATCAGCTACAGAAACAGTACCCCCTGGTTATACATTGAGATATTGATAGATACACGTGTGAGGTTTTATCACCAGGCGGCTTTACGCATCACCTGTGCACGAGACTTGCTCTCTAGCCCCAGCAAAGGCGAGTCTTTCTTCTCAACACCCAGGGCCAGGCAGTATGCTTGGAGCCAGGTCCCCAGAGAAGGATAGACTCAGGCGGGCTCTGTCCCTGCCACTTCCTACTTGTGTTGCCGTGGGAAAATTACTTGACCTCTTCAGGTCAGCTGCAAAGTGGGCATAATGTTAGGTTGCTTTCAGGGTTGCTGCAGGAGTAAGGAAACGAATGCATAGAGGGCACTTGGCACAGGGGCTGACACCAGCCTTTCACTGCTAAGCTGCATTGTTGAACAGAGCGACCCTCTCACTGGCTGGTCATCGCATTCCAAGGGCACAGCGAAATCTGGGGTATATATAATCAGGGCTCGGCACTCGAAACTGGAGGCATGAAGACAGGAAGTTTATGGGTCCCTGTAGCTCAAGGTGGGATGGACAGAGGCGGGAGGGGGCACAGTGGTTATTTTATCTCATTTTCTCCCCTCTTCGAAGATTCCAATGAGCTCAGAAGACCTTTGCTTAAATTTCCAGACCCGCCCCCTCCCCCAGTCCCACACACTCAACCCAGTGGCAGAGTCAGCAGACAGAAAGGGGTGGGTGGTGTGCCTGGCCTTCTCCCCTTCTCCCCTAGAGCTTGCTCTCTGGCGCAGGGAAAAGGCGGCCTCTCCAGTTCCCATTCAACAGCCGGGTTCAGTATTGTGGTCACGTTGGGCCCCACTGTCGAGGGCTCAACGTGCTAGATCCTGGGTGCCAGAAAAATACGCTGGGCCGCTTCCTTCCTTCGCTGCCACTTACAGAAAAAGCCGCTGGATGCTTCTAACATTCTGCAGGTGGAAGGTCTGATTTCCAGAAAAAACAATTTTTTAAAGAAATTTTGCACCAAAGCAAACAGAAACCTTGTGGGGCTGGGGCAGCAGACGGTGTCGCTGCTTGTGTGGGACAGCACACACTTCAGCAGAGCCTCAGGTTCGGCGAATGCTTGGAGGTGGCCAGCTTCTGGCCAGACTCAGCCTGCACTGTGGGGCCCTGGGCACAAAAGACCAAGGGCATTCAGATATGGGGCGGGGCTGCGGCCCAGAAAGGTGAGGGGATGATTAGCTGGGACTGGTATTCCCAAGGGGTGTGAGCCCAGAGGCAATTAGGAGCTGATCCAGAGAGAGAGGCAAGCACCCATGGGCGCTGTGGGCAGGGGGACATTTAGGATGCTTCCATGCTCCTGGGACTCTCGCAGGATGCCCTCTTCTGCAAAGCCTAGCCTGGACTCCACACAGAACCACATGCACGGCCCCCTCGTGAGCACGCACACGACCTGGGATGATCCAGGAAGCTTGCGGGCAAGTCTCCCTTCCCTCCCTGAAGGCAGGGATAAGGGCTGCTTTACCCCCAAACCCAGCTTGGTGATTTGCTCCAGCACCCTCCTGGGGCTGAGATGAAGCGTGCTAGGCGCCCAGACCCCGGCCCTGGTCTCGGCTCTGGGCAGAGGAGCGGCTTTTACAGGGGCTGAGTCCTGGCGTGTGCTGATTCAGCCTCACGGCTGGCTCTCTCCAGTTCCAGGGGCGGCAGCCAGAAACTCAGAGGGAGAGGACAGAGTCAAGGTGGGGCTGAGAATGGTTTCGTCTGTCACCAAGTCCCAGCCTTGCTCCTGGCCCGTCCTCCTGTGAATTTTCTGCCTGCCTCTGAGAGCTAATATTAGTGAAGCCCTAGAGAACAGGGCAGTTGGGAAACCAAAGAGCAGAAGCTCAATTAAACAGATGGATGGGCTCTCGGGTAGCAGGGCTGGGAAAGGGCTGGTGGGAACAAGGCTGATAGGCAGGTTGAGATACACCTTGTGGGTTTACCTGCGTGCTTACTCAGCCCCCCCCACCAAATGCAGACACTGAGCAGGGGCTCGACAAGTCTGTTTCGTGTGATTGAAACAAGGGGATGGATGATCAGCGCATGAGTTCCTGAGCCATACTTTTTTTTTTTTTTCCTTTTCTACAATGCTTAAAAGGGGGGAGAATGAGAACAAACCTCACAGGGAATACACCTGATAGACAGGAATGTTAACCACGGAGCGAACAAGTTCCAATTCCACTTGGAGTCCGTTATGAAATGAAAGTGCCGTTGCTCAGGACCGAGGCAGGCAGCCTCTCCGCACACAACCTAACCCGGGGCTGAGGCACACTTTCTAGGAGGGGTTCTCAGGGAAAGAGAGTTTGGCCAACACAACAGGAATCTGTGGAGATGTACAAAGCCCCTTGACACGAGATGCAGTGTTGGTGGGCTAGCCTCTGTGGACGTGCCAGGCTCGGGCTCCTGCACGCTCTGCAGCCCCGCGCTGGTCGCCGCTCAGGGCGGGCAGTTACCCTCCACGTTGTTACGGCAGGAAACACATCCCTCCTGCAGCCAGCTCCCTGAGGGTCTGCAGTCATGTCAAAGCCACGTGACAAAATCCCAAGGAACAGGAGAAGAGGACAAGGAAGAGTCAGATAGGGAAAGGCGACCCATGGGGACATCTCTGAGATGCTCAAGCTGGTCACCGCCGTGGGCAAGCAGGCGCTGGTATTTTAGGAGCTGTCTAGGATGCACCTCAGAATTGATCACAGAGAGGCCGGCACTGTGGTGTAACGGGTAAAGCCACCCACGGCCTGTGATGCCAGCATCCTATACGGGTGCCGATTGGAGACCAGACTGTCTGCTTCCCACCCAGCTCACTCCTAACGTGCCTGGGAAAGCAGCAGATGAAAGGCCAAGTACTTGGACCCCTGCTCTCACATGGGAGACCTGGAAGAAGCTCCTGGCTCCTAGCTTTGGCCTGGCCCAGCCCTGGCCATTGCAGCCATTTGGGGAGGGAACCAGCAGGTGGGAGCTCTCTCTTTCTGCCTGTCACTGTCTCTCCCCTTGTCTCTAAAACTACCTTTCAAATAATTTTTCTTTAAGTAATTTAAAAAAATAAATTAAAAAAAAAAAAAGAATTGGCCGGCGCCGCGGCTCACTAGGCTAATCCTCCGCCTAGCGGCGCCGGCACACCGGGTTCTAGTCCCGGTCGGGGCGCCGGATTCTGTCCCGGTTGCCCCTCTTCCAGGCCAGCCCTCTGCTGTGGCCAGGGAGTGCAGTGGAGGATGGCCCAGGTGCTTGGGCCCTGCACCCCATGGGAGACCAGGAAAAGCACCTGGCTCCTGGCTCCTGCCATCGGATCAGCGCGGTGCGCCGGCCGCAGCGCGCCGGCCGCGGCAGCCATTGGAGGGTGAACCAACGGCAAAAGGAAGACCTTTCTCTCTGTCTCTCTCTCTCACTGTCCACTCTGCCTGTCAAAAAAAAAAAAAAAAAAAAAAAAAAAAAAGAATTGCTCACTGGAAGAACGGGAGGGGAGTATTCCTCCATCTGCCCTGTAGAACACAGGTAAGAGGCTGTCTCACCAGGTGCTAGCCCCTTAGCACTTGCCCGTTTATTTGTGTGTCAGAACAACTCCCAGGCTGAGTGACAGAGAAGCCTTGAAGCAAGAGACACCTGGACAGCTGAGGCAAGGTGCACTCGGGGTGTACCTGCATGCCGACGGTTACCACGGTACAGCGGGTGGGAGCTGAGGGCTAGTTACTGGAGGTGCCTCATAGGCCCAGACAGTCCCAATGTCCTCTGTCTTCCATAAATAGAACTAAAATTTCCATTGACTGCTCGGTCCGGAGTCAGGATCTACTCACATGGTTTTCCCAGGTGGAAAGTTTCTTTCTTTAGCTGCGTTTCTAGCCACGCATGACCCTCAACGTGTAACCCGGTGACTCAGTCAGTATAGCCATTCATTCTCGTTGCGGTGGCAAGATGTACCGAGAGACTACAACGGAACACCACCACCGAAGCTAGCACTCTGGCTTCAGCCCATCTGTGAAATGGGTTCCCAGTCTTCAATGCTCCAGAGGTGGGGCGCTTGGCAGAAAAAGGGAGACCCAGCCCCGGCTGTCACGCAGCTCATGGATCAGAGCCGACGGGTGTCCTCCCAGGCCAGTACTTCTCTCCTGTTTGCATCTGCCGGCTCCCTTCCATTCACCCGTCTCTGCAATTTATCCATAGTCCCGCCACTAATTTGCCCTGACATCTTTTCTCCGCAGCCTGTCTCTCACCTTGGGGCCTTAGGGGAAGTGGGGGTGGGGAGCCCCGGAAGTGGGGTGGAGAACTGGTCTGTGGCCAGTTTCCCTCTAATGCCCTATTGTTGAAACTCTGGGAACCCGTGCTAGTGTTAAATTTCCTCTACCGACGCTTAGGAGAAAATCTTTTATTTTCATCCGATCAAAAAGATACTCAAAACCAACCCCCCCAGCCACCCACCCTGATGAGCGCTGAAGGCGGCAAACACGCTTAGGACTTGGAAGGCGCCGCCTGCTTGCCGGGGTTTCCCCACTTCCTGGAGCCGCACCTTCTCGGATCGCGCCGACCCGGGTACCTCCCCTCCGCACCCCCTTCGCGGTCTAGGAAGACGGTGGCGGTGGAAGGGATCTGCGCCCGGCTCGGGGCGACGTGGAACACCGGCAGTGGGTTAACTGGCTGGGTGCCTAGCGATTCCGGGCACCTTCAGCCAGACGAGGGCCAGGCCCGGCGCGAAAGAGGCGGCGCGGGATCACTCCCCGCCCCCGCGACGCCCGCCGTCCGGCTCCGCCCGGCGCAGCCCCAACGCGCGCACCAAAGGGTGCAGGGCATCCCGGCGGCGGAGACTGGAGGCCTCGAGGCTGCTGGTGTGGGAGCCGGTCGAAGGGCTTCGGGGAGTAAACGGCGGCAGCCTCCAGGCCTAGAGCGCGGGTCCCTGCGCGGCGCAGGGTTACGCCGAGCGCACCAGCCTAGCACTCCGCGGCCGAGCCCCCGCCTGGTTGGTTAAAGGTAAGAGGAGGGGTCCGCAAGTCCGCGCTCGGGCGGGATGCGCCAGCGCCCTCGGCTCAGTTTGGTTTGGCCTTGCGCGGCCACTGAGCCCGGGCGCCGGGATGCGGCCGGGAAAGGGGGCATCGCGCCCTATAGGCCGCGCCGGTGCCGAAGCAGGGTCTTGGGCCATTCTCGCTAGACCCGTGGTCCTCACCCACTGCCCTCCTCGGAGAGCACGACCGGGCGTTGGTTATTTGGAATAATGCGCCCAGCAGGGGACCTGGGTTGATCACACAGCTCCCAGGTGAACCCTCGGGACTTGGCGCTCCCTGCTGGCGCATTTTACCGAAGGGGACCCAGGCCTCGGGGAGGGAAGGAACTGCCCCAGTTCATAGGGTAGTCAGCCCTGGGCTCCAGACACGGCTCCCTTCCCTACCCACCTCCTCGATCCCCGTGCCCCTTCTCCTCCCGCGTCCTCCGCGAGGCTCTGTCCCGGCCCGCCGTGCCCTCCGGAAGGATGCGGACAGCGGTCAGGACGCCAGCTGCGGGGGCTAGAGCCGAAGCGGCGGCTGTTGGTGGACCGACCGGGCCACGAGGCCGGGGACGGAGGAGGACGCGGCAAGGTGGAGCCACCGCAGGGGGCAGGCTGGGGATGTTGGGTGGTGCCCGGCCTGGGCCCCGCCGGGCGGGGAGCCACGCCTGCGCACCCGCGCGGGGACTAGGGGGCACTGTCTGGGCGGTACCGGCCTGGCCAATGGGAACGCGGCCCTGGCCGAGCCCCCTCGGCTCCCCGCCCTCCCGCCGGCTGGAAGGGACCGCGGCGCGGGGATTGGCTGCGGCGGGCGCCTGCGCGTCTCGGCGTCCCCGCGCAGCCTACGTGCTGGAGCGCGCCTGTGACCGCGTGGGGCCCCGGCACCCGGCTGGTTCCCCTGCGGCCCTCGCTACTCCGGGGCTGCGCGCGACGGTGGCGGCGCTGGGCTGTGCGCGGTTTTTCCAGCCAGTCAGCGGGCCGTCAGCTGACAGAGTCACGTCCAACCCTGCGGGTCCGACGCCGAGGGTTTGCGGAGGCCCGCCTGATGCGTACGTTCCTGCAGACGGGTTGCAATCCCGCCGGGCACTGCGCATATGCTCCTGCGCCCGGGCAGGCCAGGAAGCCACCTTCTGGAACTTGTGTAGGTTTCCTATCCCCTCAGTACACATTTATAGAGCGTCTGTCTCCTGCTAGGCATTAGAGGAAGGATTTTTGAGGGGCCAGAAGTCAGTAATGGAAACACGGGTGCTGTCTGGGGGGTGTGGGGTGCGCACGGCCCAGCTGGGATTGGCGGCTGGGTGGAGGCTTGTGAGGGGTTATGGGCACAAATACCTCTCCTATTGCCTGTTACAGCAGCGCAGGGGAAGGCGGTTGGGGAAAGACTGATTTCTGACTCGGGATTAGGAAGGGCATCTCGGAGGAGGGGTTCTTTGACCCAGCTCAGACGTGTGTTAACTCAGGTGTGGAATAGGATGAGCGAGGCAGGGGAACTGGGAAGTACAGGATTCTTTCAGGGGTGGTGTAGTGAGTGCTTAAATAGGAGTAGATGAGTGTATGGAGTAAGACTGAAGGGGCCCCAGAGGACAAGGGCACCCAGCTGTGTGCTCTGAAACGTGCCACCGGTTGGGAAAGGCTCCTCATTCCATCTGCTGGTTCACTTCCCAAATGGCTGCAATGGCCAAGGCTGGGTCAGGCTGAAGCCAGGAGCCAGGAGCTTCCTCCAGGTCTCCCACATGGGTGGCAGGGGCCCAAGTACTTGGACCATCTTCCACTGCTTTCCCAGGCACATTATGAATGGAAAGCGGAACAGCCAGGACTCGAACTGGTGCCCATATGGGATGCTGGTGTTGCAGATGGTAGCTTCACCTGCTGTGGCACAACACCAGCCCCCGAGAGCTTACATTGTGATGGAACTGAAAGACAACACATGAGATACACAAGTACGATATGTGTGCTTTGTCATGTGGGAGTTACCGAGGAGGCAGCATAGATGGGGGCAGCGAAGGCGTTCAGGAAATACCAGGCTGTGGTTGGGGTTGGTGGGTTGCCCAGGGAACGTCTTGCTGAGGAAGCATTTGAGTAGAGGGCCAAAGGGAGAGATGGGATGCTGAGGGTGTGGGGCGGGGAGGGGTTGCTTCAGCTGGAAGAGCCGCCGGGGCAGAGGCTCAGCGCTTGCCTGGGTGTTTGTTCCAAAGACTACAAGAAGGCCCCTGAGCAAGGTGCAGTGAGGAAGGGAGGCAGGAGGTCCGAGGGGGCCTGGGGCCCTAGGTCACGCAGCAGTCTAGGACGATTTGACTTTTACCCTCATCAGAGCTGGGCGCAGGAGACGCAGCAGCAGATCAAGTTCCACAGGCCATGCAGGCTGTGTGGAGCAGAGTCGGAAGGGAGACGGTGGAACAGGGCCTTACCTGGGAGGCTGTTGCAGTAGTCCAGGCAAAAGGAGATGCAGTCTCAGCCTAAGAGGTAGCAGAGGTGGCATCAGTAGGGTGTGCTGACACTGGACTGTGGTGTGTACAAGACAGAGAGGAGTTGAGAATGAGGAGGAGCTGAGAGTGGGCGTTTAGCCTGGTGAGGAAGATGCCTTGTCCCATATGGGAGTGCCCGTGTTTGAGTCGGCTCTGACTCCTAGTGCAGCTTTCTCCACTGCACACCCTGAGAGGCAGTTGTGGTGGTTCAGGTAGTTTGCCACCCACTTGGGAGACTTGGATTGCATTCTCAGCTCAGTCCCCGCTGTTGGGGGCAATTGGGGGAGTCAGCCAGTGATAGGAGCTTACTCTCTGTGTGTCTGTCTCACTGCCTCTCAAAATAAAAAAGTCATCATGAGGATTTAGCAGAATGGGTATGCAGGACACTAGCACAGCTCACTGTGGACGGGTGAGAGTTGAGATACCTGTTAAATATCCAGTGGACAGTTGTGTAAGTAAGAGTGGACCCCACTCTGAACGCAGACTGTGTATTCTCAGCACTCAGCTCTGCTGAGCCACCTGCCTGGCCTGTCAGGTGTAGTCTCTCTGTTTAACCACGTAACCCAGTTTGAGTGACTGGGCACTCTCTCTTGGATTCTGCCCCATCCCTTCTGACTGATGCCCTACCCCTATAAGCCTTGCCACCTAACTTACCAAAAAAAAAAAAAAAAAAAGTGGAATCCAGGGGAGATGACCAAGTTGGAGATAAATACAGGGGGGTCAGCAGCATGTAAGTCATGTTTAAAACCACAAGAGCATGCCATGGGGGTGACGACAGAGCAAGAAGAGAGGCTGGAGGCCCCCATTTGTGGTCTGGCTGGAGCTGGCACACCCAGAGTGGGGGGCACTAGTAATAGTGTTCTGGGGAAAGAGCCTGCCTTCAGCGTGTTTCACCCACTAGTGTTCTGGCTGCAGCCAGCAGAAACTCTAGGCTTAAATACACGGAGAACAGTGACACACGTCTTGTGTTGCAGAGCGGGGGGCAGGCGGGCAGCTGCTCTTGTTCTTTTATTTCCAGCTCCCTCTCTGCTGCTGTCTGTACATGTGTGTTGGCGCTCTTGCACTCTCTGTCTGCCCGCCCCTCCTCCCCTATTGGCTTTCTGCACCTCTCTGTGGCTGCAGGACCTTGTGGCTGCCCCCCCCCCCCAGCCAGATCACATGTCCCCACAGAGGCGGGTCTGCATTCTTTCCAAGTAGAAGGGACAGAATGATGGGTTCATGCTGGGTCTGTTTCTGTCCCTGGCCTTGTCCCATGTGGCAGAAGGGGCAGTCTCACTGTCCAGCTGTAGCTGCAGAGGCCAAGCGCTGTGGGCAACAGGCAGGCCTGACAGGAGGGAGTCAGATAAGCAGGACAGACCCCCCCCCAAAAGGTGTTTGTGTTGTGTCGTCCGAGGAGAATTGTCTGTCACTCTAGTCTGGCGACAGGACTGTCTTACAGACTGATTCAAGTGTCTGCTTTAGGTGTGCCTTTGCTGAACCAGGCTCACATTGACCCCTCCTCGGCTTTTGAAGGTCTCTGGGAAATAAGCCACGTGAGTGTCGTGTCTACATGTGAGATAAAGTGGTGATGAGAACGTGGCGTGCTGGTCACGTTCCTAGGCATTCTTTTAGACTTTTGTTTCAGAGTGGCTAACTCTAAAGAATGACAGATGTCTTTTTTTTTAAGATTTTTTTTTTATTTACTTGAAAAGCAGAGTTACAAAGAGAGGGAGAGGCAAAGAGAGAGAGAGAGAGCGATATCTTCCACCTGCTGGTTGACTCCCTAAATGGCTGCAATGGCCAAGACTGGGCCAGGCTGAAGCCAGGAGCTTGGAGCTTCTTCTAGGTCTCCCACATGGGTGCAGGGGCCCAACCACTTGGACCATCTTGTGCTGCTTTTCCAGGCCATTAGCCAGGAGCTGGATTGGAAGTAGAGCAGCCAGGACTCTAACCAGTGTCACAGGTGGCAGCTTTACCCCCTGTGCCACCTGTTGGCCCCTGGTTGTCTTTTTTTGGATGAGGACTTTAAAACTTATCCAGATACCCTTTTTGCATGACCTCAAGGAAGCTCCCAGTAACTGTGCACTTAGCATGCATAGCTGAGCTGGGATGAAACCTTATTTTTTTAAAACTACTTTCTGTACATTTTTTTAAAATTTAATTTACTAATTAATTAACTAATTTTGAGAGGCAGCAAGGTGGTTCATTCCCCAAATGCCCACAACAGTTGGAGTTGGGCCAGGTCAAAACCAAGAGCGAGGAAGTCCAGGTGAGGGCAGCAGGGGAGGGCTCAAATAATTGGGTCCCTGCCACCCACATAGGAGACCCAGATGGACTGGGAGCTGGAACTTTTAAGCAAGACTATACTGAACGATCAGAAGGAAAATTGCAAAGGGATGGCACACATCCATCTGGCTAGGGACCTCAAAGCTCAGATGCCCATGGTGTCCGGGGCAAAGGTGATATGGTGGGTTTTAAGGTATTAAGTGCAAACTGTAGTGAGTTCAAGCATAGCTTAGCTGTCTCATCTTGCCTTTGAAAACAGTAGGCAGGCCAACACACACACACACACCAGCTGCGTGGAACACACGGGAGCCAGGCTGCCAGTTATCAAACATTGGGACACACTGACTTCAGCTCCTTACTGTGGAGCCCGGCATCAGTGTCACCCCATGTAAACCCAGCTTGCCCTCTCCCGGGGACAAGGCCTGCGCCTCCCACTTGGCAGTGACAATGGCCCATCTAGACTTCCTGTCCAGAGGCACTGCAGCTGTCCCTCCTGCCTGTGTCTTGCGGATGCCCCGCCTCTTCTGAGAATGTCAGGTGCTGGGAGTGTGTGCCCCTGCCAGTGACTCCCAGGAAAGTAGCCAGCTGTGGCCTCTGCTGTCCGAGTGCAGCATGGGAGCCTGGCAGAACAGGGTGCTCTGTTTAGGAGAGAGCACTTTCCACAGGTTGTGTGTGGGTGGGCAGGGGGTGCCCTGGAGAGGAGACCCAGGTGCTGCTAGCAGTAGAGAAGTTTCTCTAAGACCTGTGTGAATTTGGTCCCTGGGAGTGAAGCCCTCGTGCTGTCATCCTGGGGCACTTCCTTATTTATTTGCCTTTTGAGATGTGGGACACTGTCCCCTGCCCCTGTGGCTACTCTGCCCTTTTCTGTGTAGCACCTGCCTCCAGCAACCATGTGTGTTCCCAAATCAAAAAGGAAGTGAGTGGCATTTCAAGTTTGAGAACTTAATATTTACAGGGAAAGCCCAGCAGGCGGCATGAAGGCGACAAAGCAACCTTGGAGAGTCCCTGGGAGGCCCAGGGCCTGTGTTATTGTCTGGGGTGAAAATCACAACGGCTCTCAGAAACTTAAGAATGAAATGGACATGCGTGCTGTTCCCTGTGTAGGAGACTGCACTGCGGGGCAGGCTTTGGGCGTAGTAGTCAAGATGCTGCTTGGGGTGCCCACGACCCACTCTGGATCCCAGCTTCCCACTAACGTGCACCCTGGGGGGACAGCAGGTGATGGCTCAAGTATTTGCGTCTCTGCTACCACGTGGGAGACCCGGATGGAGTTCCTGACTCCCAGCTTCAGCCTGGCCCAGCCCTGCCTGTTGCAGCAGGTGGGGAAATCTCTATCTCCCTGCTTTCAAACGAAACAAAAGATTGTGAGAGAGACACTACAATGTGAACAGTGCGTTATTCAAAGGACTGATTTTAATGCAAGTTAAGCTGTTTCGACTCCAGTAGTTTTAGGTACTGCTGACTCTGAGGAAAACAAAATTGAAAGCAGCCCTCTACTGGGAGATTATAGCGAGGCCTTTTCTGCCACAGGCCTTGGCCGGGGGGATAGAAAGGACTTTAATTATAGAGAACTGGATTTGAAGTCACCGAGTGGTGGTGACCTCAGACTCCAGTCCTGCGGGAGGAGCTGAAGATCTGTGAGCTCAGCCAGCAATTTGGGACTGAGGTGGGGGCGGGGCACCCAGCTGGGCCCATCGCTGCTGCTGCCCGTGGCCTCAGTTGGGGCCAGAGGCTGGCTTTCTACCTGAGTTCCCTGCGGGGACCCCCTGAGCACAGCTCTGCTCCCCATGGGTGTTCTCTTGTGTCAGGCTGCGTCCAGCATTGAGGATTCAATGGTGAGCAAGATGGACAAGGCTCCTGGGCTCACTGGGCTTAGGATCCACTGAGGGAAGACCAAGTAAATGAACAGGATCATTGTGGATGGAGAGTGATCTTGTAGAAAAGTTCCTGTGTGTGTGGCATGGGACCTACTTTAGTAAGGGGCTATCTTAGTCTGTTTTCTGTTGCTGGAACAGACTCCTTGACACTGGATAGTTTGTGGGAACTTTGGTTCATGGTCTGGAGGCTAGAAAGTCCACAGACGTGGCACCAGCACCTGCCTAGCATCTGGTGAGGGCCCTGTGCTGTGTCATGGCATGGCAACAACAACAACAACAAACAAAAACAAGTAGTGTGTTGAAGAGGCATAACATGAGAAGTGGACTTGAGTTGTAACAACCTGCACTTTCCATAGCTAATCGCATCCTGCAACACTGAGACTCACTCCAGGAAGGCCTTGACCTCCCTTAATGATCCAGTCACTTCTAAAGGCCCCACCTCTCAACATCCCACAACAATGGCAACATTTCAGCATGAGGCGCCAGCGCTGTGGTGCAGTGGGTTAAGCCACTGCTTGTGACACCAGCATCTCATAGCACACAGCATGTGTGAGGCAGCATGCATGGCTGGTCCTAGTGCTAAGTAACCTTAAGATGCCATCAGACTATGCGTGGCTTTGTTGCGGAAAGGGTGATCAAAACTTCAATAGAGAGGGAGTGTGTGTGTGTGTGTGTGTGTGTGTGCTGTTGTAATTTTTAGACTGAAAGGTCTTTGGTTTTGTGGCTCCAGACCCTATGCTCTAATGAGTTACTGATGAATTCTGCCTCCGAGCCAGACCCCCTGCCTGTCAGCTGGGGAGAGAGGTGGAGAGCAGGGTCAGAAGATGGGACTAGAAAAGCCGCCTGCAGGGGCACACAGGTGCGCTGGGAGGGAAGGCAGAGCCCTGGTCACCGCAGCGGGGTGTTTTCCTGGGCATGAGGCGCCTGGACAAGGGAGCCGGACTCTCTCGGTCAGCCTTCCCGGGGGCTGAGGCCCGGAGCGCCCCGGAGTTGCTGTGCAGCCTGGTTTGAGGATCACCCTTCTGGTCCAACCTCCTCATGTTACAAACGGGAGGCAACACAGGCAGAGTGGCCCAGTGAGGTGTTGGCCCAGCCAGAGCCAGAGCCCAGGTTTCCAGACCCCCTGGCTCCTGGCTGTTTGGGGCAGTCTATGTGAGATGGAGGGGCAGGGGGCTGTCTGGCAGCAGGACCCCACCCAGTTCCCCTTTACAACCTGGAAGGAAGATGGCCCCCTGACCTAACCCCCTGAGCACAGCAAGGCCATGCTGAGGGTGCAATTTGTGTTTCAGAGCCCCTGGCAGGAAGAGGAAGCAGATCCTCCTACCACGTGTCCACAATGCTGGCCGCCCGCCTCTCCAGACCTCTGTCCCGGCTCCCAGGGAGAGGCCTGAATGTCTCCCACAGACAGGATGGAGCGAGGTAAGCAGCTGAGGGTGGAGGTGGCCCTGGGAGGTGGTGATTTCTGGGCAAGGGGAGATGCTGCTGCCCTTGACACATGGGCAGTGCAGGTGGCGCTGGGGCTTGACGGCCTGTCCACAGCCTCTGCGCCTGCAAGGGTCGCTCACAGGTGTGCTCACAGGGTGAGGGTTTTTTTTTAAAAGACTTTGGCATTTTGAAAAACTTTAGACTTCCACAAAAGTTGTACCAGTAGTGCCAAAGGGTCTCAGATCCCCTTTGCTAGGTAAAGAATAGCTTAGGGTTCTGGCCTTTCATACCCGCAGAAAGGAGAGACAGAAATAGAAGATGGAGACCAACCTCAACAGAGACAGGTTGCTTTATTTGAAGCAAAGAGGTTGGCAACAGTCTGTTCTTGCAAAGAGACTGCGCACTGGGCGTGTTTAGAACTCAGGTGTTTATCAGGTTAAGGAGAGAATTTGCCATTGCTGTGGAGGGTAGGGGTGGGAGAGCGCAGCTGGCCGAAGAGTAGGAGGCTCTGAATTCTCAGGGAACTTCCCTCTCCACAGTTCCATAGCTGCCCTGTGCAGCTTACCTGCTTTGCAAGGAGCTGAGCAGGGCCTGGTTAGGCACCAAGGATCTCAACAAAAGGGAGGAAGTGGGGCAGAGGGGAGGAGGAGGAGGAAAGGGAGCAGGGGATGGTGCAGCAGGTCCTGTACCCTTCACCTGACTTGTCTCGCACAATCACAGCACAATGAGGAAATCAGGAAGTCACCACTGCTGTCATTCCAGCAGCCAACCTACAGACCTTACCCAGGTTTTGAGTGGCCCACCCATGGGGCTTTCTCTGCCCAGGATACAACCCAGAGTGCCACGTTCCATGTGGCTGTCCTGTCTTCTTTAGTCTCTTTGCTGGGGGTGGGTGTCTCAGTCCATTTCGTGTGTGGCCCTGACGTTCAGAAGGACTGTCCAGTTGCTTTGCAGACTGTCTCTCGGCTTGGGTTTGGGTGCTGTTTGCTCGTGCTTCAGTGCAGGTACACGTCTGCAGACGTGCGTGGTGCCCCCTCAGTGCACCGTATCAGGAGGCACATGGTGTTCCCGGAGCGCATGACTTTGCTCACTTGGATAATTGCTCTCTTTGACCTTCGCGTGTGAAACCAGTTCACGCAGGTGTCCTGAGACTTCGCCGTTTGTGTGGTTTAGGAGAATTGTAAAGTAATGCGAATCAAACAACTCTTTGAGGGCTTCTGGAATTACCTTGCTCAAGGGGATTCCGTGGGCTGTGCTGTCACAGTTTTTCTCTTTTGCAGCCTGGGCAGGGGAAAAATAAGAAATGTGGGGTTTTTTCCCTGTACCGTTTCAAGGTAGTGAGATGGAGTGTCAGGTTAAAGTTAAGGTCCCAGCAGCCACGAGCTTGATGTTTTCTGTACCAGCAGATGTGTTTAGAGGAACACACGTTCAGGGTTTTAGCAGCAGTTGCTTAGATGCTCTTTCGTGGAATATGGCAGCTTGACTTGGAGCTGGGCTTCAGCTGCCAGAGGACACGGTGTGAACAGAGTGTAAAATGGAGCCCCGTCCACACCCCGGCGGAGGGGGCATGGAGCCTGCTCTGTGGACCGGTTTTTTCTTTTTTCTTTCTTTTTTTCTTTCTTTTTTTTCAGGTGGAGTTATAGACAGAGAGAGAGACAGAGAGAAAGGTCTTCCTTCCATTGGTTCACTCCCCAAATGACCAATGACTGCCATGGCCGGTGCTGCGCCGATCCGAACCAGGAGCCAGGTGCTTCTTCCTGGTCTCCCACGCGGGTGCAGGGCCCAAACACTTGGACCATCCTCTACTGCCCTCCCCAGGCCACAGCAGAGAGCTGGGCTGGAAGAGGAGCAACCGGGACTAGAACACGGCGCCAATATGGGATGCTGGTGCCACAGGCGGAGGATTAACCAAGTGAGCCATGGCGCCGGCCCGTGGACCGGCTTTTGAGAGATTTTGTGCACTTTTCTTTGCAGCGAATGCGCCAAGAAAATGGGCAAATCAGTCTCAAAAGAGGTTCTTAGAGATTTCTAGAGATTATTTTTTAATAGAGTAGAAAATCCCAAAGGAAGCTAAAGTACTTTTGCAGAGGTTTTGCCTCCAACTTCAAGGGAAGTGGAGCATCCGTCAGCTTCTGACCCATCTGAGGGGACAGAAGGGCTGTCACATGCTGGGTCGTTGGATCACGGAGGGGCCGAGCACGTTACACGTCAGCAGGGAGAAGGTGCCCGCAGAGGCCAGGGCGGGATGCCCCAGCACAGACTGAGGCCAGCATGCGCGTGATTCCCGCGAAGGAACCAGATCAGAGGGCTCAGTGGTGGGGGAGGCCTTGGCTTGATGGTTTTGCTGGAGTCAGTCTCAGCTGGAAAGAGCCTCACACTCTGGTCCATTCGTACCAAGTGGCCTTCCAGCCTCTGTCCGTGTCCAGCGCTGGCAAGGTCAGCCCTGCCCCCGTGGCCTCCTGTCTGGCAGGGCTCCGTGCAGCAGGCATCTTTCCTCCTGTGACGGCCGCTGAGTTCACGCTCCCTTCTCCCAGGCCACACCGGGCCCCTGCGTGCCGTCTACGCATGTTTTCCTGCCTTGTCTCCCGTGCTTTCCTCACAGCATCCGGGTACAGCACCCCAGTGAGGGTCTCCATTTGGCTGGCGCCCCTTCGTGAGTTGTGGTGCCCTGAGCGTGGCGCCCAGCGCTGGTCACATGGCTCCAGGCTCGGGCCTTGTGCCCCCGGCCTGCCCAGCACCCGATAAGCTCCGCTAACTGGTTCTGCACAGCCCTCAGAGTTTGAATTCCTAGCTGTGTCTGAATTTCTTGAATGCCTCCGGCACCCCGGGAACTCTCCCTCCTGGGGTCGTGGTTGCACCTCTGGTGCCCAGCTGGGCCCGGGCTCACATGACTCCTTTTGGCAGCCACAGGCTTATCTCAGATTTTGTTACTCTAATGAAATGCCTGGGCCACCTGCAGAGAAACAGAGGCTTATTTGGGCTCAAGTGTCTGCTCCCGGGTTAAGACCTGCACCTAGCTGCGGTCTTGCTGGCGGAGTTCCGAGGTGGTGCGGGGCATCACAGACTGGGAGCGTGCGCATTGATATCCCCTGCTCTCTCTAGCTGTATAGTTATAGGGCCCTGTGCCGAGGACCTCATCTCACCCTAGTCACCTCCCAAACGTTCCACCTGCAAATGCCATGGTGGCATTAATTTTCTGCCCTCTCAATATCTCACAATGGGGATTGGTAAGATGGGGAGGAAACCAGGGTGGGGGAAGCCCTTCTGCCCCATCGGCTTCTGCTTGTCCTCCCAATCTGGCCCCACACCTTGGGGACTGCACCCGCCAGACAGGTGCTGACTGTCCTGAGGCCCCCTGTGGGCCTGGCGGAGCTGACAGTGTCCAAGCCTTGGGAAGACCCTCCATGGACATATGCAGTATCCTGTAGTTTGAGGTTTGACTGTAACCCTCAGGGGCACTCTCAGCCTGGGAGGCCCGGGTAGGGTCAGTGGGTCCGTTAGGACTGTGTCACACTAAGAGTAGGAGGAACCCCCGCAAGTGCGAGCAGCTGTGGCTTCAGGGAACGCAGGCTCCTAGTTGCTTTCTGTCACCCTGGGGGTGCCATGACTCACCAACCCCGCCAGCTTCCAGGAAGAGACGAAGCAACGGGAGGAAGGAGCAGCACCGCATCTGGGAAGCAAGCTGGCTTGCAGCCGTGGCAGGCCTCTGCCTGCACCGTGTTGGAAATGGGTTGTCATGTGACCACGAAGGAAGGAAGTAGATTTTACTAGTGAGGAGGAAGAGAAGAGTGGCTACAGGCAGGGAAGCAGCAGTGTCTGCCCCAGCCAAGCTGTGTCCCCAGTGATGCTAGGGCTTTGGCAATCCAGAAGCCTCACAGGGAGACCCCTGGGGGAAGAGTCTTTTGTCCTCCTGCGGTGGCAGTTTCTAAGTCTATGTGCACAGATGAGCAGAGTAGGGAGAAAAAACCCATCCCTCTGGGGATTCTGATTTAATCGGTCAGAAGTGAGGCTAGCCGTGGGAATAGTTTAGAAAGCCTGCCTGTGATTTTTTTTAATTATTTTATGAAAAATCTCAAATATATACAAAAATAGAAAGTAGTACCAGCTGAGCATTCCTAATCTGAAAAGCTGACATCTGAGACATTTTGAGCATGGATGTGCCGCCACAATGGAGCATTGCAAGGCTGGTGGTTACAGTCAAAATACAGGCGCCTTCAAATATGTATGGAGTTACCTTCAGGCTCCATGTACAGGATACATATGTAGCACACGTGAATTCTGTGTTTAGATTTGGGTCCCGTTCCCAGCATATCTCGTTATGTGTATACAAATATTCCAAAATTTGAAAGCCTCTGAAGTCTGAAGCACTTCTGGTCCCAAGCATTTCAGATAAGAGGTAGTCAACCCATGTCTTGATCCCTGGCGCACCTGTCACCGTGCTGTTGTTTTTTGTTGCGTCTGTGTCTTCCCTTGCCCCATTCTTGCTCTTCCCTCCCGCACTCACTGGAGTACCTGTAAAATATGAAGGGCATTTTACCGACGAGGATGTTCAGACGATGCTGTGGTCGAATGTTTGTTTGCCCTGGATCTCGTGTGTGGAAATCCTAACTCCCAAGGTAACAGCATAGGAAGTGGGGTTTTGGCAGATGATCAGGTCATGAAGGTGGACCCTTGCGTCAGCCTCCCGCTGTGCGAGGCCTGCGACAGCTGTCTGGGGAGGAAGCGGGCCCTCCCCCGGCACAGCCTGCTGCTGCCTTGACTGTGGGCTGCCCGGCCTCCAGAACTGTTGGAAGCACATCTCTGTTGTTTGCAGGCCACCCGCCAACAGCATTTTGTTTTAGCAGAGATTTGTGTTGAATGAGAAATTCGTCCCAAAGGTTGCATTCTGTTCATCTAAGGGGTGATTCCATTAATAAAACATTGTTGAAATGACACAATAGGGTTTTTTTGGATTTGTTTTGTTTTTTTTTTAGAGATTTTTTAAAAATTTATTTGAAAACCAGAGTTCCAGGGGAGCTGGGGGTGGGGAAGAGATCTTCCATCCACTGGTTCACTCCCCAAATGGTTTCTTTATTTTTTTTTTTTATTTTTTGGCAGGCAGAGTGGACAGTGAGAGAGAGAGACAGAGAGAAAGGTCTTCCTTTTGCCGTTGGTTCACCCTCCAATGGCCACTGTGGCCAGTGCGCTGCAGCCAGCGCACCACGCTGATCCGATGGCAGGAGCCAGGTACTTATCCTGGTCTCCCATGTGGTGCAGGGCCCAAGCACTTGGGCCATCCTCCACTGCACTCCCTGGCCATAGCAGAGAGCTGGCCTGGAAGAGGGGCAACCAGGACAGAATCCGGCGCCCCGACCAGGACTAGAACCTGGTGTGCCGGCGCCGCAAGGCGGAGGATTAGCCTAGTGAGCCGCGGCGCCGGCCCCCAAATGGTTTCAACAGGACAGGCCAAAGCCAGGAGCCTGGAGCTTCTTCCAGGTCTCTCACATGGGTTCAGGGGCCCAAGGACTTGGGCCATCCTCCACTGCTTTCCCAGGCCATTAGCAGGGAGCTGGATTGGAAGTGGAGTAGCTGGATTGTTATCGGTCATGGAAGGAAGGGCGGTTACTGGAGAAAGTCTTGTGGGTTCTTTTCCTTAGCTTAGTATAGAAATAAAAATTTGGTGGGGCTGGTGCCATGGCTCACTTGGTTAATCCTCCACCTGCGGCGCCAACATCCCATTTGGGCGCCGGGTTCTAGTTCCGGTGGCTGGTCTTCCAGGCCAGCTCTCTGCTGTGGCCCGGGAGGGCAGTGGAGGATGGCCCAGGTGCTTGGGCCCCTGCACCTGCATGGGAGACCAGGGAGAAGTACCTGGCTCCTGCCTTCGGATCGGTGCAGCGCCGGCCGTTGTGGCCATTTGGGGAGTGAACCAATGGAGGGAAGACCTTTCTGTCTCTCTCTCACTGTCAAATTTAAAAAAAAAAAGAAAAATTTGGGAAATAATTTGCAAAGAGGCAGAAACTTTTATTAGAAAAGAACTTTTATTTGATTGGCAAGCAACCGAAAGCATCTGGTCTGAGAGGAGAGCAGGCAGAGCGCCCGAGCGGGACACTGGCTTTGAGGGAGTGTCCGGGTTTTGAAGGTGTTACTGTTTCTTTCACTGGGTCATTCTGTGGGGGAGCCCATTGGACGGGGATTTCACGCACTGTATGTTGATTGGCTGCAGCTCATGGAGATAGCGGGGGGTCTCCTGCAGACGGCCTGTCTCCCGCTCAGGGGCTCAGCCCCCTCTACTAGCTCTGGGTGGATTATTGCAACTAACCTGAAGGCATGATTTAAAGCGGCAAGGGTCACACAAGACAGCCTGGATCTTCTGGAGCCGGTGGACTCTCCCCAGGGGCTCAGCCCCTTCCCCTGCCAGCTCTGGGTGAAAGAGCACCCACCTGGAGGTGGGATTTAAAGCCACTAGGTCTCTGTATACTAAGATAATCGAAAATGAATCTTGATGTGAATGGAAGGGGAGAGGGAGTGGGAAAGGGGAGGGTGGTGGGTGGGAGGGACGGTATGGGGGGGAAAGCCATTGTAACCCATGAGACGTACTTTGGAAATTTATATTCATTAAATAAAAGATAAAAAAAAAATAAAAATAAAAAAAAATAAAAAAAAATAAAAAAAAAAAAATAAAGCCACCAGGTCACACACACAGCACAGGAAGCTACTAGTAGGGGAGGTGCTGGTCTGGAGGCAGGCTTTGCAGCCACAGCTGGCAGCCTGCTTGTGAAGGACAGTCTGCCTACGTCTGAGGGCCCGGGCCCCCGCCCCGCCGGGCAGCCTCATGGGTGTCGAACCAGCGCTCACATTGGATGCTGGCATCGCAGGCAGAGGCTTAACCTACTATGCTACGATGCCCGCCCCAAAATGACAAAATGATTGAGACAGAGAACAGACTGGTGGTTGAAGGGGGTGTGGTGGGGAAGGAGGTAGCTGTAGCTATGGAAGGGTGACATGAAGGACCTCGTGGAGATGGAAATGACCCGGATTTTTACTGATCCAGTGTCAGTATCCTGGTGTGGCAAGATGCCACCATTGTGGAAACTGGGCAGAAGTTCCTGGCATCTCTCTGTTATTTCTTCACTGTATGTAAAGCTGCAAGTCTTTCAAGATAAAACATTTAATTAAAATAACTTATCAGGAAGCAGCATTAAACCTGCTGAGGGTTAAGACCTTGAATTTGCAGACAGCTTTAGCAAAGCTGTATTTCTGCAAAGAGTCCACACTTGAATTAGTCTGAAACATTACCTATTTGTATCACTTTGGGAAGGGGAAAAATGGAGCTTTATTGGAGTGGGACATAAGACAGTCAAGTTCTTAAAATTTTTTAGTCAAAAGCCTGAGAAGCAATAGTTTAAAAAAAATTTTTTTTTTTTTTTACTTATTTGAGAGACATAGAAAGAGTTACACACAGAGAGGGAGAGAAAGAGAGTGAGAGGGAGCTCACGTTCCTGTCCACTGTTCCACTCCCCAGATTCTCCAGTGGCCTAGAACTCAATTCCGGTCTCGCACGTGGGTAGCAGGAAGCCGGTTACTTGAGCATCAGCACTGCCTCCCAGCAGGTGAATTAGCAGGAAGCTGGAGCTGGAGTTGGAGCTCTAACCCAGACACGCTGATGTGAGAAGCAGGCGTCCTAACCAAGTTCCCAGCCCAGGTGGTCAGGTTTCAACAGGCGCTCCCAACAAAAGTAGCTTCCGGGCTGGCTTTGTCTTCGGCAAGGTTCCTCTTGTTCAGTGGCTAAGTTGGCCACACAGGTGCCAGCTCCTCCTTCCGGCCTAGCACCCAGTCTGCTTGCTCAGCAGGCCACTAAGGTGACTCTGGCACCCGGGCTGGGGACACGATCAGCGCTGCTTCAGGCTGAGTGGAGACTCAGGGGCCTCTGTGTCGCTCCTGCTCGAGGACTGGCCCCAGGTGAGAGCCCAGCCCCACGTTGGGCTGCCGTTTCTCTTGCAGGCACACTCTCCTGTCTTGCTCTGCTTCCTTCCCCCTGGTTGGCCGTCGGACATACGCCAGCAACGTGGACCCGGTGAGTGGATGCCCAGCCACCTGGAAACCAGATGCTCAGAACCCCTGGGCCCCGAGCCCCCTCAGAGCAGGGCTTTGGGGCTTCTCGCCCACCCTCCGCCAAAGCACCTCCACGGGTAACGAGCCTGCCCACCGCATGCCTGTGGGAGGCTGCGGTAAAGCATTCGGCCCCTCCACCTGGGAAGGCCGCAGCCGAGGCCTGATGGGAGCCAGAACCCCACCCTGTCCTGGAGAGCGGGGGGTTAAGAGTTTGGAATCTGGGCTCTCTCAGCCCTGGTTCAAGTCCAGCTCCGTCACGGTGCCATGGTATGATAATCACACTCACCACGGAGTTACGAGAGGATGCAGTCAGAATAGTTCATACCGGGAGCCTGGTGTAAGGTGAGTACTGTGCCCCATACACGTTAACTTGGATGATGAAGATGGTGACGACCGCAATGGCCGTGGTGAGCGTAGATGGGGAAGGTGACACCCAGGCAGCAGAAGTCCTCTCTCCCGGTGACACTGCTGGATGACGTCCGAGTGCTGATTCCGAGTCCAGGCTTTTTCCAGTGCACCGTGGAGCTGCCCCACACAGCAGGAGTGGGCGGGGAGGGCTACCTGGTGCTGTCATGGGCAGGGAGCCCACTCACCCTGTGTCAGGACTGTGGGCGCCTAACCTGGGCTCTGACCTCCTGCACAGGCTGGCAGCAAAGCTGTCCTGGTCACGGGCTGTGACTCTGGATTCGGGTTCTCCTTGGCCAAGCATCTGCATTCCAAAGGCTTCCTCGTGTTCGCAGGCTGCTTGCTGAAGGTAAGGCCTGGCTCCTCCCCACTGCCACTGTGCGTCCAGGCAGTGGGCGTCTGGCGGTTCTTTAACAATTGCTTGCCCAACAGCTGGCCCGTGTGTTGCTCAAAACAGCCTGTACCTCTCCCTGTGGCTTCAGTCTCACTTGTTCTTCATGTCTTCCCGCCTCCCCTCCCTTCCTCCTTCCTTCCTTCATCCTTCCCTCCATCCATCCATCCATCCATCCATCCATTTGTTATTTGCTTGTCAGTCACTAATGATCTGCTGGATGCTTTGGTAGTGCTGTGGTAGAACGGAGCCCTCCCTCTGTGGGGAAACAGCCATGCATAGACACAGCTGAGGGCTTAGCGTGAAGAGGACTCAGGAATGTGTCAGGACTAGGGCGTGCGCAGAGGAAGGGTTGGATCCCAGGGTAACAGAGCAGGTGACACTTGTCCTGGACCATGGAGAATACATAATAAATGTCCCAGGGACACTGGGACAAGTGACCTGTCGGACAGAAGGAGTGGCTCAGGCATGGGCCGGGAAGCGTGAGGCTCCTTTGGGACATAGCAGGTGGAATGTCAGGCACGTGGAGAGAAATGCAGGGCGGGAGGCTGCTCCTGTGGACGAACGTCTTGTTGTCTTTAGTATTTTGCAATTACCAATAAAGTGCTGGAGGATAACCATGGGCAGATGTGTTTTTGTATTGTTGGAGGTTCATTTTTAGGACAGATTGCTAAGAATGAGATTGCTCTTGGATCAGAGGGTAAATAAAGTATGGTGTCATATTTTCTAGCTACAGTCTGCTCTGTGGGTTATGCATTCATGGATTCAACCATAGCAGCAGATTGAACAGTTTTTAAAAGAGTGTCTGTCTGGGGCTGGCCTTACGGCACAGTGCTTAAGCTGCCATTTGGAATGCCTGCATCTGTACTGGGATGCTGAGGCTTGAGTCCTGCCTCCACTTCCAACCTAGCTCCCTGCTAGTGCACAACCTGGGAGGCAGCAGATGATGGCTCAAGAACTTGAGTTCATCCTGTGCAGGTGGGAGACCTGGTAGAATCCCTAGATCCTGGCTTCAGCCTGTTACAGGCATTTAGAGCAAACTAGCAGGTGGAAGATCTCTCTCTGTTTCTCCCTCTCTCTTCCTGTCACTCTGCCTTTCAAATAAGTAAATCCATAAATACATGTTTACAATAATAATTTTCAATAATATAAACAATTACAAATAATAAAGTATTCTGCATTGCCATGCTCTGAACATCATTCCAGATCAGAATGAACTTTTTTTTTTTTAAGATTTATTTGGTTACTTTAAAGACAAAGTGCAAAGAAAAAAGGAAAGACAGTAAGAGAGAGAGATCTTCCAACTGCTGGTTCACTCCCCAAATGACAGCAACAGCCAGTTCTAGGCTAGGCTGAAGCCAGGAGCCAAGAGCTGCATCCTGGTCTCCCACATGCGGGTACTTGGGTCATCTTCCAGTACCTTCTCAGGTGCATTAGCAGGAAGCTGGATTGGAAGTGGAGCAGCCGGGACTCCAACTGGCACTCCAGTATGAGACGCAGGCAGCACAAGCAGTGGCTTCAACTGTCGCGCCACAACTCCAGCCCTTTTTCTTCTTTTTAATTATGAAATTCAAACAATACAGAAGTATTTGATGTAGAAAAGTGAGGTCTTCCCAATCTCTGGCCCCCAGGTCACTTAAATGTGGCTGTGCACGTGTCAGTGACTTTTGCCGTTAGAAGCAAAATTGCAGTGGGTAGCTTTACACATCTTTGTATGCTTTCGTTGATGATTCTTAGGAAAACCTTGTAGCTAAGAAAGGGCTAGTTGGGCTCAGATTTTATGCAGCTCTGCTACATTGCTCCCCTGAAGGGCTGTCCTGTGAGAGGGCATGAAAGAAACTGTGGGGAGTGGCGTGCTTGGAGTCGGGCTCTCTGCGCCATGTGGACCTGCCTCACCAGGTGCTGGCAGGAGCCTTTGAAATCCCCGACCTGTGTGTGGCACCTGTGCCCTTGCACTGATCTGGCCAGCAACACAGGGGACCACACCTTGACTCCCTAGTGCAGGCAGAAGCTGTCCAGAGCTCCAGGAGGGCCTTGGAGAGGGGGTTAGAGCCTGGGGCTCCAGACCCCGATTGGCCACAAACCCAGGATTGGACCAGCACCTCCTCTCTCTGGGCCTTAGTCTCCTCTTTTTTTTTTTTTTTTTTTTTTTTTTTCCGACAGGCAGAGTTAGACAGTGAGAGAGAGAGACAGAGAAAAAGGTCTTCCTTCCGTTGATTCACCCCCCAAATGGCCGCTACGGCCAGCGCACTGCACCAATCCAAAGGCAGGAGCCAGGTGCTTCCTCCTGGTCTCCCATGCAGGTGCAGGGCCCAAGCACTTAGGCCATCCTCCACTGCCTTCCCAGGCCACAGCAGAGAGCTGGACTGGAAGAGGAGCAACTGGGACAGAATCTTGCGCCCCAATCGGGACTAGAACCCTGGGTACCGGCATTGCAGGCAAGGATTAGCCTAGTGAGCCTCGGCACCGGCCCCTCAGTCTCCTCTTACAATAACAGGCCGGGACCGGAGATCTCCTTCCTCTCTCACAGCTGCGGTTCTGCGACCTGGTGACTGGGATTCTGAAGAAAGTACCAGACAAGGTCATTGGCAGGCTGTGTTGTAGAAGCACTTCTTGAGTGCTTCCACTTTGTGTCTCCAAATCAGACAGTCGTCGGAGCCACCAGAGACTATGGGTAAAGTGCCAGGGGACGTGATTTCCAGCCTGGTTCTGAGATGTTAGCCGTGCGCCGGGTTGCAGCTCGGGCTTCTGATTTCATTGCTTTGGGCCAGTTCAAAGACTTGGATCCAGGAGAAGCCTCCAAGCTCCTACATCAACTGCTCCCCCTACTGGACCATTTTGGCACACCCCCACTCGCAACAGACCTGCATACCTGGGCAGCCTGGGGTTGCTACTTCCCGCTTCTCTACTCCCCTTTGTAGAAAAGCGGCCCCAGAGGGTTGTTTCTGCTGGCTATTTGCATAGAGTTCCCTCCCATTTCTAACACTCAGGATCTGGCTCTGCCCCTCCCACTCTGTTCATTTGTTCAACAAAGGTTTGTTGAGCACCTGTGATGAGCCACTGTTGGGAGATGCAGCCAATGACAGGGGAATGAAAGCTTTTCTATTCCAAGGGCAGAGGTTGGGAGAGGCAGACGAGGAGTAAGAATAGCATGTTGCTTCTCTGTGGGGTGAGGAGAAGAAAGGGTTGGGGTGCGTATATATTCAGTTTTCAAGAGGGAAGAAGGACATTGCAGGGAAGGTGGAGCGGGGCTCTTATGCCCAGATGTCCAGGCAAGCACCAAGCACAGAGGGGTGGGCCCTGTGGTTTGAGGAGCAGCAGGACGCCGCTGTGGCTGAGAGTAGGGGCGGGTGCAGATCTGCGTCCACATGGGGATGACTTACGGGGCTAGCATCCCCTCCCTGTCTAGAAGGATGAACGGGAGGGCCCATGGGATGGGTGGAGGTGGCATAGCTGGCAACGCTAGTGGTTTGAGGTGCCTGAAGCCCAGCACCCTGGGGGAGGGGGAGAGGGGAGCTAGGACAGGAAGGCAGGAGCAGAGCAGGCAGGCGCTGCGCACTGCTGCGCCCAGCCGGCGCTTCGACCACTTCTCAGACATCCGCATCAGATCGGCCCGGCAGCGGCTGTGGACCAAGCCGGCCCTCTCCTGCTCACTAGCGCTTTGTTCCGTGACTTCACGCTCTCGCGGTTCTTCTCCAGCTCCTTTGCCAGCTCTTCCTCCTGCCCGTCCTGGAAATGTGACAGTGCCCCAGGCCTGCTCTTCTCTTCCCAGTGCTTCTAATGTGTGATAAGAAGCACCCGGGGGCCTCACTGGCCGCCAGGTAAAACATGCTGGGCCGCTGTCTAACCTTTCTGCCAGGGGCTGCCCCTTACCTGTCTTAGTACCTGTAAGAAACTGGGACACGAGAGGAGGAGAGGTGGAGAGCCCTGGCCATGGCATTTCCCTCTGGTCTCAGGTCAACAGTGGGCTTCCTGGGAACGGCGTGCAGAGCTCACCAGGTGTGCCCAGTGTCTGGAGCCTCGGGGTATGATGCCGACATTAGAGAATGACGCTGAGTGACTTGTCTGGACACAGAGCTCAGAAGCTGCAGAGGGGAAGGGCTGTGCTTCTACCCCAGTGGGACACAGCATCCTGGCCCCGTGTGGACTGCAGGGCGAGCTGCCTGCGGTCATCATCGAGTGAGACCACACGGCGCTGGCCAGAAGTGCGCGTCGCTGAGGCCTGGGCTGAGGGAGACGGTGCCAGGTGGGAGGAGTCCCATGGCAGGACCCCTGCCGAATCTCAGAAGTGCCCTGAGAAATAAGGGCCCACTCCCGGGCTCCTGCCACCTCTCAGGCAGCAACAGCAGACAACAGCCAGCCTCGGGAGGCTGTTGTTTGTTGCCCCTCCTTCGCGGCATCCAGGTGTAGCTTGGAGGGGTCACAGGAAGGAATCAGAGAGGAGGGCAGCTGGAAAGTGGTGGGAAACCATGCTCTGGGGGCAGGCCTGTGTGGGGCAAGCTTGACATTGGGTGCAAGTTTGCGAGTTTGGGTTTTCAGTCCAGCCTCAGCTGACTTAGCAGATGCTTGATGCCGGAAGAAGCTCTGTCGACAGAATGAGTGAGAATGCTGCAAGGCTCGCCTGAGATTGCATCCAGGGTGGGGAGACCAGGGAGAGGAAGAAGTGGGCTTGTCCATAACCCAGCAGGGGTAAGAGTTTGGCGCAGCACCTTGCATGCCACGTCCCATATCAGAGCACGCCACGTCCCATATCAGAGTATCTGGGTTCGAGTTCTGGCTCTGCTTCCAATTCCAGCTTCCTGCTAATGTGAACCCTGGGAGGAAGCAGATGATGGCTCAAGTACCTTGGTCCCCGCTAACCCACATGGGAGACTTGAGATGAGTTCTGGGCTCCTGGCTTCAGCCTGACCCACCCCAGCTGTTGCATTTGGGGGGTGAACCAGCAGTCTCTCTGCCTTTCAAATAGATAAATAAATTAACTTTACAAATAATAAAGTTACACAGGCATCAGCACGGCAGGATTTGAAAGCTTGTGCCAAACAGCAGGCCCAGAGACCTGCAGAGTGGACCCCAGAAACCCTGGAGCCAGTTGAGGGGGTAGAGAGGAGGTGACCTGGACAGCATGGTCTTAGCCCAAGGACAGGCAGACCCCTAAGGGCTTAGGCCACCACAGTCTGCAGCCACAGGCCAGGCTACAGGTGGTTGGGAAGCTGGGGTGTGGCAAACAGACATTCTGTCCCTGTCGGTGTGACTGTAAAGTACAGGGTAGTTTTATATTTTACAAATGTGTATGCGTGTATATGATTTATTTATTTGAAAGGCAGAGTTAGAGAGAGAGGGAGAGATAGGGGGAGATCTTCCATCTGCTGGTTCACTCTCCAAATGGCCTCAATGCCTAGGGCTGGGCCAGGCCAAAGCCAAGAGCCAGGTATTCCATCAGGGTCTCCCATGTGCGTGGCAGCCGCCCACATACTAGGGCCATCTTCTGCTGCTTTCTCAGGCACATTTTCAGGGAGCTGAATGGAAAGTGGAGCAGCCAGGACTCGAACCAGCACTCACATAGGGTGCTGGCATCACAGGTGGCGGCTTAACCTGCTGTGCCACAGCACCAACCCCTCTGCTGCCCAGGGGAATTGAGGGCCAAGCCTGACACCCACAGTGTGCAGAGGTGGTCTGGGGGGACCTGGCACTCCTGGTGCCCAGCTGCACAGAGGCTTCTCTAAAGAGCTGGCTGGAGCCCTTTCGTGGGAAGCCCATGAGTGAGGATGACAGTTTAGGGATGGAAGGGAGGGTACGGGGAGATCAGCCCACTTCCCATGTGATGCCTGGACTGTCTTTGCTCTGTGCCCCGCCGGCACCCCACCACCCGTTACTCATTGTCTGAACACATCCCAGCTGGTCCATATCATCTCCAGACCGTGACAGTCGCTCCTCACTTTGAGTTGGACTTGACGTCTTGGCCCTCGGTCTGCTCTCGTGGAATGAGTTGGCCCCCACAGCCATGTCCACTCCGCCCCCAAGTCTTCTCTCCGGACCAGTCCTCCACAGCGCATGGGCCCCCACTGGCCCGGCCCCTTCACCCCCTCCTACGTCCCTGTGATGCTGCAGGGTGCCATCTCCAGTCCTGGGACCACGGCCCTTCTGGTCAAACCACTTCCAGGGCTCAGCCCCACCCCTGACAGACGCCGCCCATCCTGAGCTCCCCACGCTTGCCCGTGCCGGGCTGTTGGCCTCACTGCCAGTTGCTTGCATCGCGGGCTGCAGAGTAAGCTTTTCTCTGGCACTGCATTCCCTGGCAGCCACTCCAGCCCTCTCGGAGGAGACATCAGGATTGCAGACACCGCTCAGAAAAAAATTGCTTCCAATTAAATTACGACTGGCAGAGTTTAATTTTCACATCAAATGTAGCTCATTCCTGTTGTGGGGGAAATAAAAATAAAAACCTGTGTCAGAGACTGGGATGAAGTGTCATAGCAAGCCCTGCCTCGAGAAAGGGGGGCCAAGGAGATAAGGCCATCGGGGGCTTGGCACAGTATAGCACCCCTCTTAGCGAACACTCAACTAACCAAGTCGGCGCTTAATTAGAACCCTCCGGCGGCTCAGCAGTGCCCCCCAGCGGACGCCTGCCCACCTCCCAGCCTCGCATCCACCGCTCCTAGGTCTTTGCACTGCCTGCAACAGATGGCTTTCTGTGGCCTCTTCCGGGAAGCGCCCTGACCCCCAGGGCCCCTCTTTTCACGTCCTCAGCTGTCACTGCTTTGCTCCAGCCCCTCCGTGTGTGTCCCTTCCGCCTCCAGCGGGGTGTTTGGACGTCAGTGCCCAGCGCAGCGGGGACCATGAAAGAGGGCTGAGAAACCATTGCCACGCAAGAGACGCAATTCTCACGTTCAGTGAAACCTGAAGTCGAGTTGCGCTATGTGGTTAAACAGGTTTCTTAAAAGCTTTCTTCCTTATTCCAGGAATCTGCAAGGGCTGGCCCGGGGGGTGGGGTACTTACATTACAGCCAGAAAAAAAAAAAAAAAAAAAAAACCAGCACCTGTGAAAGGGACACACATGGGTGCACAGAGCCGTGCTAAGGTCTGAACTGGAACTTAGAGGCAGGTTCTGGCCTCTCGCCAAGCCCTGGGCTGAGAACGGAGGTGGCCAGCTGGCAGCCTGCTGGTCATATGTGGCCCATGGACACACTTTGGCCCACACACTGGTTTTGGTTTTTTTCATTTCTGTTTTTGTTTTTAATGTGAAAAGTTGCCAACACCAGCTTAAAACTCGAAGCATCTGGCCAGCTGGGGCTTCTGTACCCAACGGGCACATGCTCTAGGCCCCAGCGTCCCCTCCCTGTTGTCTGAGAACCGCATGTTCCTGTCATTGAGGCCTGGGGGACAAGGTCTCTGCCCTACTCCTGGTGTGGCCGTGGCACTGTGCTTGGTGCGTCCTCACCGCCCAGGGGCATCCACAGCCTGAGGCTTTGCAGGGCCTTGGGGCTGCTCGGCAGCGTCCCTCCTTCCCTCGTCTCCCTCGGCATGATGACACAGACTCTTTTCCTCCCCAGGACAAGGGGGATGCTGGGGCCAAGGAGCTGGACAGCTTGAACAGCGACCGGCTGCGGACCGTCCAGCTCAATGTCTGCAGCAGCGAGGAGGTGGAGAAAGCGGTGGAGGTGGTGCGCGCGGGCCTGAAGGACCCTGAGAAAGGTCAGGGGCCGCGGGGGCAGGCGCGGGGCTGTGTGGAGGGACCCTTCCCGGAGGCCACTCCGTTGGCCGGCATCCTGCCCACAGGCTCTTGTGGACCCCGGGGTTGAGTTGCGGTGTGTGTGTGGGGGATTCTCCATCAGGGAGCAGTGCGCTGAGAGGCAGGGCAACACGAGACAGGGTTTGGTGCAGCCTTGGGGGTGGGGTGGGAAGCCGGTCAGTGTGGCAGAGACCGGGCAAGGTCGTTCCCGGTGCAGTGGAGTGTGGACAGCCGTGGGAGCAGCTCTGTTGGCCGGGACAGGTTGGGTCTCATTCAGGGTTAGTGGAGAGGGGGGAGGGAGGTGGGCCAGGCCTTGGGTGCTGAGCGAGGGAGCCACTGCAGGGGCTGCCCTGAGTGGAATGGCCTGGCTGGACGTGAGCTCACTCTGGGGACTGCAGAGGCCACATATGGCACCGTTCCGTGCGGGAGTGTGAATCCAAGAGTTGTGGCCTAAGGTGGGCATTGGGAAAGAGGAGGGGTCAGGGGTGAGGACAGGGGGAGGAGCCCATCATAGCGGGACTCAGTGGCTCGGATGGGCAAGAGGTATCCACCCTGCGTGCCCTAGTGCCCATGGGGCCCCCTGGTGGAGACCAGGTGCCCCTGGGAGGCGAGGCTGGGAGTGGGGGAGGGACTCCATGGGCGAAGCTGGGGCCAGCGGTCCAGAAGCTAAACCGAACAGGAGGTTTAGGGGCCAGCGCCAGCGGAGTGGATGCTGCAGGAGGTTCTTGTTGCTAAGGACTCAAGGGCCCCCCCAGTTCAGCCGTGGGGTGCTTGGGGAGAGGGGCTCTGTTGTACATCTGCAGGGGCCAGCTCTCCTGAGCCGCTGGGGGTGGGGTGGGCAGGGAACAAGGCAGACGTCCTGCGCCTGAGCGGGGCTCTCCGTGCTGAGCGAGGCTGAAACGCCAGGGTCTCCAAGCCCCTGTCGCGGACCCAACCCCTGCTTGGTCTGGGCCGCCCCCGCCCGGGCCCTCGGCGCGCCGCAGGCCTCGCGGGACATCTGCTTCATAATTAACAGGCGGGCCGGCGTGCGGGTCCCACTCGGGAAAGGCGGGCGGGGTCCCACCTCGGTGATCCGCGGGCATCAGCGTGGGGAGCAGCACACGGCTCCGGGAAGCCGCCTCCTCACTGGCCGCGGCGAGGGAGCGGCCGCGCACGGCCCTGGGAGGGGCACTGTCCTCACCGGCGCTGCTCAGGGCCGTGCTCCTGGTCCCCGCCACAGATGGAGCTGCCCGCAGCCCCGGGCCACACGGAGAGCCCCCTGCCCTGCGGGGCGGCTCAAGGCCCAGCGCCAGCCTTGACGCAAAGTTCTCCCCGGCGCTGTGTCCCCCGGCGCGTTCCAGGGAGGGTTTGCAACAGCTCACCCCCGCCTGACGTAGCCAACACTGCAGTCTGTGGGAAAGATCTGGACACTTTTTTAGGTCTGAGAAAGAAAAGAAACCCGTCAGACACGCGGCTGCGTGCCCTTCCTCCCTGCCCCCTGCCCTCATCCGAGCCTCGGAGCTGTGGTTTTCCCGGGGACGCCTCGCAGATTCCCGCTGTCTCGGGAGATGCTGGCTGTGAACGCCAGATGGCGCCCTCGCAGAGTCCGCAGCACGGCGCGTGCGGACCGGATCCTGGCGGCAGGGGGCGCTGCCCGCTCCTTGCTCCTGGCCGCGGGGCGCCTCCTGAGAGCCGGTCGGCTGCCCTGCGCCGTGGCTGGGGGGAACCGTTGCTTCCCGAGCCTGAGGATCCAGCCCAGGGGGTGGGATGAAGGGCTTGTGTGATGAGAGCAGCTGGGCCTGTGCCACAGCCGCCTTCCCACAGCGGGACTCCGAGGGCCTGGACATCTGGAGCCCGTGACCGCCCTCCTCACCCCGCCCCGGGAAAGCTGCGTGGGCGGCTGCAGGCAGCTGTGGGCACGGCCTGATCCTGGCACCCCGTGGCTTTATCAGTTGGCCAGCCAACATTGGGTGCCTGCTGAGCGCCTAAAGGGGCGTGACCCGGGGAGGCGGTTGAATACCGGCCAAGTGGAAGTCTGCGGCTCTGGGACACGACCCCTGAGGAGCAGGGTGGCGTTGTGGGCATTATATGGTAGATGGGGGAGACCCTGAGTCATAGGCACCCTCCATCTGCTTTTGCGAAGGCTGGGGTTACTCTGGGCTTTGCCTCTTAATTGAAGTGTGAGCTTGAACCTGAACCTGCACCTGTGTGGGCCTTAGCTTGCTTGTCCGCGAAGTGGACACAGTGCTCTGCCAGCCCTCCAGTGCTCTCCTAGATCCCAGCACTGCAGGAGCCTGGGTGGAATTCTGACACAGGCTGCCCTCAGGCTGAGGGGTCGGGTGTGTGTGTGTGGGGGGGGTTACAGGAGAGGCGGGAGGGCTTCCACGTCAGGAGGGTCAGACTTGGAGAGGGCGGAGCGAGCGAGGCGCATGTGCAAGAGTACTGGGGGGGGGGCTAGCTGAGGACTCCTGGGTTGGGGAGAGAGCCCCGGTCTGCAGGCTGGGTGAGCAAGGTGACGAGGACCCAAGCCAATGCAAGTGGAGACAGGAGGGAAGAAGGGACTCTCAGGACCCAGCCCAGGGCGCCCTCGCAGCATGGGCTAAGCATGCTGCCACACAGACATGGTCCAAGTCCCAGCCGTCCCATCTGCAGGGGCCCCAGGGCCATTTAGCAAACACTTAATAGTTGGCTGGGAGTTGAGGTGTACTTAGCTCAGGGCGGGGCGGCTGTCATCCTGGTCTGTCAGCATTGTTTTTTGTTTTTTTTTTTTTTTTTTTTTTTTTTTTTTGACAGGCAGAGTGGACAGTGAGAGAGAGACAGAGAGAAAGATCTTCCTTTGCCGTTGGTTCACCCTCCAGTGGCCACCGCGGCCGGAACGCTGTGGCCAGCGCACCGCGCTGATCCGAAGCCAGGAGCCAGGTACTTATCCTGGTCTCCCATGTGGTGCAGGGCCCAAGTACTTGGGCCATCCTCCACTGCACTCCCGGGCCACAGCAGAGAGCTGGCCTGGAAGAGGAGCAACCAGGACTAGAACCTGGTGTGCCGGCGCAGCAAGGCGGAGGATTAGCCTAGTGAGCCGCGGCGCCAGCCATTAATTTTTTTTTTTTTTTTTTTTGGTCAGCATTGTTAACTCTCCCCATGCCTGCTCAGGTGGAGGAGCAATGAGGGAGCTGGAGGGGTCCGGGGCAGCCAGAGACAGAGCAGCAGATGTGGGCAGCCTGGGGGCTGGATGTGAGGCTGGACTGGGGGTCAGCAGGAGGAGACTGGGGTTGGACGAGCGCCCTGACTGCCTGCAGGAATGGAGGTGACGCCGAGGCTGCTCAGGGAGACCTCTGTCACCAAGGCCCGCAGGAATGCTGCAGTGGACTTAGTGGGGACAGAGAGCTGCTGGTCCATGAGCTGTCGCTGCTGTCAAGTCCCAGGTCAAGGTGGCACTTCGCTGAGTGGTCGTGTCAGATGCCATTGTCTTGTTTGCAGGAGGTAAAAAGGATTGTGTGCATGTTAGATCATGCGATGCTGTCTCATATGAGCCAAACATATAGGAGCTAGAAAAGTCCAGAAGCGTAAAGCGCATGTAGCTGCTTCACAACACGGAAGAAGCAGACCCAGGGCAGGACCCTGGGTGCACCTGTCCCAGCGGAGGCAGGTGGAGGACGGCTTCAGGGAGGAGACAGTGTCACGGGCTGTTTGTAGTGTTCATGCTGAGGGAGGCTGAGGACGGTGAAGGCTGGGGGGCAGGGTCCTCAGCAGGCAGCGGCCCAGAGACCCCGAGGAGTGCAGGGTGGGGGCCAGCAGCAGGGCTGAGTGCCCAGGATGGGGGGTGGGGGGGTATGGCGAGTGGAGAGGGTGTGCACCTGCTGTGGAGGGAGCAGGGCAGACAGCTGGAGGAGGGTCTGTTAGGCAGGGAGATGCAGTATTTAGAGACAGCCTACCACATACTATGCACTGATTAAGCGCCTGATGTGTACAGCCTCGGAGAGAAGGAGCCAGGGGCAAGGTTGGTGACGGGTGGAGCACTGGCCAGGCAGAGTGCAGGGCGGCTTCTGCGAGATGCAGAGAACACAGGAGCCCGTTGGGAGAGGGCAGGTGTTGTCGTGGGTGGCCTGTCACGTCATGAATGTCCACAGCGAGGTCCCTGGTGAGGCCCCTGCACAGCAAGGTGGGGAGCGACAGGGAGCTCTTCGCGGACACTTTGTTAGCCAGCAGCTTCCTTTCCCTGAGGAAGGTCCTTATTCCTCCGTAATTAGCGGAGGCAGCAGAGGTCAGCTGAGGAAGCTTTAATTTGGGCAGCACAGAAGGAAAGCAGTAGAGACCAATTACTCCGTCAGTCATCCGCACAAAACCCGTTCCCATGATTAACTCGGAAAGTGAGCAGGCTATGTTCTCGCAGCAGGGGGCGCCCTGGGGCCGGGGTGGGGGGCTGCTCTGGGGCTGTGCCTGTGTATTTCCTCAAGAGGTGGGGCTCAGCGGTGTCCTGAGGCCACGCCCCTCTACCCCTGCACCCCAGAAAACTGCGGAACAAGGCTGCCCCCTCCTGGCCGCACTGCCCAGCTGTCCCCAGCAGGACTCTTGACTGGGGAAGGAAGCCTGCGCTTCCCCTCAAGGCCTAACTTTCCCCGGCAGTAGAGTAATTAATAGACTGCGCTCTACAGAACCTTCCAGCACCAGCATTCACGGTCTCCAAAGGCAGCTGGGCCCTGGCTGGGCCTGCAGGAAGCAGTCCACCCACTGCACTGCTCCGGCCCCGCCCTCGGCCCTCAGCCCCAAGCCCACAGAGACCAGAGGTGGGCACGCAGGGTGTGGTGAGAAGCTCCTGGTGTCACGGGGCTCTGACGAGGAAGAGGAGGGAGTGAAGTCGTGGTTAGGAGGGCCTCAGGGTGGGGCAGGCCTGGGCCTGCCCTGTGAGCCCCTAACCTGCTGTGTCGCCTTGAAACGTGGTCCCTGCTCTGCTAGTCCAGAGGGGGCTTGGCTTGGAAGCCCCCCGAGGTCCCCCTGGCTTCTGTAATGAAAGCTCAGAGGTAGGGGTGAGCCAGTCAGTGCGAAGTGTGGGGTGACACTGGGTGGAGCAGAGCGGGAGTGAGTGAGTGAGGTGGGGCGCAAGGCTGGGGCAACCCTGGGTCCTGAGGGGCCCAGACGATCAGTCCAGGCAGACAGCGCGCGCCTGACTCCAGGGAGGCTGACCGCCTGCACTCTCTGCCCTCCATCTTCTGTCGCACTGGGCCCACTCCAGAAAGTTTCTTGGGCGTGAGGCTGGGAGGTCCCCTGGAGGTCCCAGGGGGAGGGGCTGGGAGGTCCCCTGGAGGTCCCAGGGGGAGGGGCACAGCGGCGGGGTGGGGGCTGGGTGGCATCTGGTGACCCCGGCTCTGTGTCCCCGGGCAGGCGTGTGGGGCCTGGTGAACAATGCGGGCATCTCGACGTTCGGGGAGGTGGAGTTCACCAGCATGGAGACCTACAAGGAGGTGGCCGAAGTGAACCTCTGGGGCACGGTGCGGGTGACAAAGTCCTTCCTTCCGCTCGTCCGCAGGGCCAAAGGTGAGCCGGAGAGGGAGCCCCTGCCTGCCCCCCCGCACCTGCCCACAATGAAAAATGTGCCCCCGCAGAGCCGGCATCCGAGCCCATGGGCTCCACTGGACCTGGGCTGGGGGTGGCAGAGACCCCAGGCTGGGTAGGGGAGGGGGCGAGTGGCCTGCAGGAGGAGGAGGTAAGAGGTCAGCCGTGTGCGCACCAAGGGCTGAGAGATGATGGCGGCTGTCCCGTTCTGGGGCCTCCCCTAGAGAAAGTGTCCCCATCCCTAGGCCGTGCTTACGTGCACGTCGGCACACCCATTGCGTAGGCTATCATACTGCAGTTATAGACATTGTGGTATTAAGAAATTATAGTCCCCCGATCAGGATTAGAAGTTTGGGAAACAGACAAAATACCCAGGCCACCGGCTCAGCCAAGTTTAAGCAGAGCCCCACACAGCCACTGCCTCCACTTTCCTCCCTAGAACAGCCGACAACTGTGGGAAGAGGGCCAGGCCGGTGGGTATGGGTGCAGAGGGCAGCTGGGGGCTTTGGGAAAGAAACCCCAACCCCGCAGGGACTCGGAACCCAGGGGTTTCTGGAAAGCACTTCTCTCTGGATGCGTCCCTTCCTGGGTGTACATAGGGACGGGCTGGCCCCAGGCCCACCTGACCTCATGCAGTCAGGCTGAGCAGGATTCACCTCTGACCCCAGCGGCCCCAGGGTTGGGGCCATCCTCCCCGGGTACCTGAGGCTGCTCACGTGCCCTCGCCCTGAAGTCAGGCTCAGGAACCCCGCACCTGCCCCAGCTGCGTCTCGGGCTGCGGGGCCATCCTGTCTGGCTTCTAAGTTGTGGGTGTGCTGCCCTCTGCTGGCAGGCTTGCTTCTCGTTCCTTTACCTCCGCCTGGGCCCCTGGGCAGATCTGGGAGGCTGAGGCGCCTGTGTGGGGCCCAGCTGCTCTGCAGCACCAAAGGAGAAAGCCCGGCAGTCCGGGTGGCTCAGCCGTGGTTCCCGCGGGGCCGCGGAAGCGTGCCAGCCCTGGCCCCTGAGCAGGGCTCGCCCTCCCTCTCTGCAGGCCGCGTGGTCAACATCAGCAGCATGCTGGGCCGCATGGCCAACCCGGCCCGCTCCCCGTACTGCATCACCAAGTTCGGGGTGGAGGCCTTCTCCGACTGCCTGCGCTATGAGATGCACCCGCTGGGCGTGAAGGTGAGCGTGGTGGAGCCGGGCAACTTCATCGCAGCCACCAGCCTGTACAGCCCTGAGCGCATCCAGGCCATCGCCCGGAAGATGTGGGACGAGCTGCCCGAGGTCGTGCGCCAGGACTACGGCAGGAAGTACTTCGACGAGAAGATCGCCAAGATGGAGACCTACTGCAACAGCGGCTCCACGGACACCACGCCCGTCATCGACGCCGTCACACACGCGCTGACCGCCGCCACGCCGCACACCCGCTACCACCCCATGGACTACTACTGGTGGCTGCGGATGCAGGTCATGACACACCTGCCTGGGGCCATCTCCGACAGGATCTACATACATTGAAGAGCTGAGCCCTGCTGGGGAGGGAGGGCGGGCGAGAGGAGCTCCCGCGGCCACGGTTGGGTACCCAAACTCCCAAGAGGCCCGTTCCCGGGTTAGCATCTAGCAGAGGGCGTCGGCCCGCCTGTCTTGCTCACACAGTGAGTGGCTCAGGCCTTCACACACCCGGTACTTCTTGGCAGGCAGGCAGGGCCCTCACCACCCCTGGTGCACTTGTCTATCTGGAGTTGATTTCCTACCGATTTGGGGGAAACCTCTTTATATTAAAAGCAGATTTATTATAGAGTATCATCCAAATTCCTTTACATATTGGATGCCAAAGCAGCCATTCAAAAAAAAATGTATCTCATTTGACCCATAAGCCAACCTCATGGTACAAAGGACAGATCTGGTTTTCTCTTGTTCTTGGAGAAGTCAGAGCTCAGAGAGCACCCACGAAGTAAGCCTTTTGTGGTTCATCAGTGGCCCAGGTCACGGGGCTGCCCTGCCGTGGCTGTGGAAACAGCTGGTGCTTTGCATTCCAGGGCTGCCTTTGGCTCCACTCATCTGAGAACCCTCTGACTGCGCCCTCCCCTGGGCCCCAAACACCAGGGCCTGCGTGTGCTCCTGGGCCAGCCCGCGGCGCTGTGGAGAGGGCATGGGGCCGTTCTGGAGACTGCGATTTGAAAGTCTCCAAGCTGCATTAGGGCCTGGGCTAGGCGCGTGTGAGGTGCTGTCCGGCTAGGAGGGCCTGCTGGGCGCTGCCTGGGCGTCCTGGGGCTGGTGTTGATGGGGCGTCCTTGGTGGGAGCAGCGATGCCGAGGCAGGCCTGAGGCAGCCTGTCCCTGCGTTCTCTGCCTGTCTCACCTGGTGCTCACACTGCCACGCACACCTGCTGCGTGGGGCTTCAGTGTGGCCTTCACCGAGGCGCACTTCCTGCTGTGGCCTTACTTTGTTTTTATTTATTTATACTTCATTTTATGTATACAAAATGCAGAGAGAGAGAAAGAGATATATTTCCTCTGCTGGTTCAGTCCGCAAATGCCCACAACAGCCAGGGATGGGCCAGGACAAAGCCAGGAGCCTGGGATGCAGTCAGGGTCTCCCATGTGGGGGGCAGGGACCCGTGTACTTGAACCTGCTGCCTCCCAGTGTGTGCATTAGCAGGGAGCTGGAATAGGAACTGAAACCCAGGCACCCTGATACGGGTTCAGGTGTCCCAAGCTGGGTCATCACTGCACCGAATGCCCGCCGCTGTATTTGTAATTAAGAGGCCAGGAAGAGCCTGTGTTGTCACTTCCCAGGATTGAATTGCCAAGGGCCTGGATGTTTAGACCCAAGCCAGACACCACCACCCTCCAGGAAGCTGCCCGCCTAGGCAGGGAGCGCCAGCCTTGCAAACTTACCTAGCATCTCCACCTCCCTTTGGAAGGACTAAATCTGCCACTAGGGGGCATGGCACTGCTTCTGTAGCGGGACCCAGGAACTTCTACCCAAGCCCAGGGTCTCTCAAAGGGTGCAGCCCCCATCCCCCGGGAAACTGCCTGAGAGCAAAAGCGAGGCCCCTTTACAGACAGCATCCCTGTTCCAGCAGCTGCCTGGCTTGAGCCTGGAGCCCAGTGCCAGGAGATGGCAGAAGATCTCGGGCAGCTGGCACAGGCCCTGAGGCTCAGGCGTGCCAAGGGAAAGGGGTCTCACAATGAGCAAATTCAGCTTTGCCTTGGTGCCTTTGTCCCCTCCGCCCTGCAACAGGGATGCCCTGTCCCACTTCCTGTCTGCAGGGTGAGACCAGGAGGGCCTGGGGGAAGGGACACAGGCAGGGCTGAAAGCCTGCGCTGCCCAGGGAGGTGTTGACATAACAGGAAGATGCTTTTCTGCCACAGAACTTGCCTCTAGCAGGAGCCTTTCAGAATCACATTTCTACGTCTTGGGAGAATTTGTTCTCATGGTGAATTTTAATAAAGGAAATGGACGTGACACTTGGCGTGACTGGGCGTCCCCAGTGGGGAGCAGAGGAGGCTCTGAGCGCCCGTCAGCAGCCAGCTGATGGCCGGTGAAGCTGTGCCGGGGGTCGGGGGTCTTGGCAGTCAGCGGGCACTGCAGGATCAGCCTGCAGGCTCTCCCCACTTGGAGTTTGTGTCCCAGGGATTGAAAAGCCCAGGGCACGCCCCTCTATACAATCTCGATGCCACTCCAAACTTGGCCTTCGCCACTCAGTGTGTGCCAGCTTCCAGCCTACATGGGTACAAGATGTAGTGTTAAGTCTTCAAAGGAGGGGGTGGGCAGAATACAGGTAGTTGTCCCCATTCTAGAGATACACGACTGAGGCCCACAGAGGGGAAGTGACAGTGGATCGGGGACAGAGCCGGGTCGGGACGAGTCTCCTGGACGTTACGATGCACCCTCCCAGCATGCCGAGGCTCCCAGCAGCCCGGGGAGCCAAGCCAGTGGGTCGCCAGCCACCCAGACCCTCGTGCTTGTTAGCAGGCGGGGGCTGTTGTGGTGGGTAGGGAGGAGCCCTTCCAGAAGCTGCCCCACCCTGCTGGGATCAGATGGCGCCCACAGGCCACCTTGGGAGGGAACGAGAGGGGCTCCAGCACCCTTACCATGGCAGGGTTCCTGAGGACATCCTGCTGCCCCCCAGCCCCGGCCTCTGAAGGGTCGTCCATCACCCAGGCCGTGGGGCCTCCTCAGCCAGCAGGCCCCGGGCCAGTGCGGTGAACTGAACTACCCCTTCCAAAATTCATAAACGGAAGCCCTAATCCTCATGAGACTACACTTTGAGACAGGATAGTCATGGTCAAAGGAGGATTAGTGGCCTTCTGAAGAGAGGCAGAGGGGCTGGCGTCGTGACACAGCAGGTTATGTTGCCCCCTGTGACGTCAGCATCCTATATCAGGGCACCAGTTCGAGGCTGCACTGCTTCCATCCAGCTCCCTGCTAATGTGCCTGGGAAAGCAGTGGAGGATGGCCCAAGTGCTTGGGCCCCTGCAATTTTGGCCTGGCCCAGCCCCATCCATCGTGGCCAGGTGGAAAATAAATGAGTATATGGACAGCCCCCATCCTACCCCATCACTATGCCTTTCAAATAAAATAAAAACAAGAACACATCTTTTAAAAAGAGAGAAAGAGATCTGCACAGCTCAGACTTCCAGCCTCTAGAACTGTGCCAGTGCTTTTCTGCTGTTTAAGCCACCTAGTCTACAGCATTGGCTACAACCGCCTGAGCTGCCCAGTGCAGCCAGGGACCGAGCATCCATGATCTTGTTTGATTCTCCCCCGGGGCCTGGGGGGGCAGGGAGAGGATTAGCAGTCCCTGCAGGTCCCAGTCTGTCCCCCACTGGGTGCGACCTGAGCCTCAGGCAAGTGGAGAGGGAGGGAGCTGAAAATCTGGAGCTGCAGGTAGAGGGTTCAGGCCTCCCCCAGCCCCTCTGTCTATGGGGCCCCTGCTCTGGTGACTCCAGCCAGCCTGGACCCCTCCCTTGGTGCCTGGAGACTGGCTGAGGGCTTTCACAAGATGCTCTCGGGGGCGCCTTGCTACCAGGCAAAGCCTGTGCTTCTCATTCCATCTGGGACCAAGAGGCTACCCGAGCAGGTGACTGGCCACCCAGCCCTGCCTAGCACAAGCTGCCGGGGCCACGCCCCTGCCGCTGATGGCAGGAAGCCTGCCAAAGAACTCCACGTGTGAGGTCTGTTCACTTCCTGGCTCTGCAAACCTGTGCCAGTCTCTGCTGGGGCAGGTGGCCACATGAGCGAGCAGAGGCTCCGGGTTACAGGTGGGCTCGGGTGCAGGGCTGAGCAGTCCCCAGCCAGCGCACGCCTCCTCTCACCTGGCAGGTAGGCAGGGTGGGGCCGTTAGATCATTTCACAGATAAGGAAACAGGCTTTTCCAAGTCTCTCCCCAAGAGAGGGACAGAGGCAAGGGGCCAAGCCCCATCTAACCTCCAACCCAGAGCCAGGGATGCATGTAAAGCAGGGCAGATGGCACCAGGATCTAAAATAAGGAGGGAAAAAATACCTCCATTATGTAACAGCGAGAGACGTCTTGCAGCCTGGGCACAGCAGCGACCACAGAGTACTGCCACGCGCTCCAGCTCCTCCTTCCTGCTCAGTGGGCTCTGAGCCCCGCTGCCTGGCTCGGCGTGCAGGGGGAGCCCGTGGCAGCCCTGTGGCAGCAAATCTGCCTCGGCTGGCCCAGCACACGGGGGCAGGCCCTGGGAACCCTGAACCCCAAACCTTGTCCCGCCCTCCCAGGGCTTGAGGCAGGAGGAGGACTGAGCTGGGGAAGTATAGCAGTAACTGCTCAGAGGCAGGGAACCAAGAGCTGGGGCCGTGGTGGGGACCACACAAGCGGCTGGGGCTGAGAGATGCAGCGAGGACATCCACCACTCAGAGACAGAAAGAGGACTTGGCCCACACCAAGCCTGACCTCAGCCTGCTGGGGGAGGAGCCTGGCAGCCAGTGCCTGGGCCTCACCAGGGCCATGCGGCTCCCTACTCCCACGAGAGCATTTTCTTGGTTCAGACGAAATTAATCCAAAAGACTGAGCCATAAACCCACCACCTCTGGGGCAGGCGTTTTCCTAGGAGTCAAGCGACTGGTTAAGACAGGCTTGTCCCATACTGGAGCGCCTGGCTTTCAGCCCTGGATCGGGCTCCCAATCCCAGCTTCCTGCTTCCAGGGAGGCAGCAGGTGGTGGTTAAGAAGGTGGGCCCCTCGGCCGGCGCCGTGGCTCACTAGGCTAATCCTCCGCCTTGCGGCGCCAGCACACCGGGTTCTAGTCCCGGTCAGGGCGCCGGATTCTGTCCCAGTTGCCCCTCTTCCAGGCCAGCTCTCTGCTGTGGCCAGGGAGTGCAGTGGAGGATGGCCTAAGTACTTGGGCCCTGCACCCCATGGGAGACCAGGAGAAGCACCTGGCTCCTGCCATCGGATCAGCGCAGTGCGCAGGCCGCGGTGGCCATTGGAGGGTGAACCAACGGCAAAGGAAGACCTTTCTCTCTGTCTCTCTCTCTCACTGTCCACTCTGCCTGTCAAAAAAAAAAAGGTGGGCCCCTGTCACTCTCATGGGGATCCAGATTGAGTTCCCGGGTCCCCACCTGGGCCCTGCCCAGTCCCAGGCATTGTGGGTGCTGGGGGAGTGAACCCAGTCCCAGGCATTGTGGGTGCTGGGGGAGTGAACCAGTGGAAAGGATCTATCTTCTCTCTCTCTCTCTCTCTCTCTCTCTCTGTCATCTCTTCATATCTCTGTCTCTCAAATCGGAAAAACAAGACCCATAAACACCACCATCTCTAACTGAGCCCTTT